TGGGGGTGGGAGGGGCCGGCAGCTGTGGCCGGGGGGAGCGAAAGCCTGAAGGAGACGGGGAGTTCGGGTCACAGACCGGCCACCGAGGTGCCGATTTGGTAATAAACTTGATTTCCAGGGTTTCCTCCAGGAGGGTCGTTGGCTGGTGCAGGCCCACGAGGGGAACCGCTCCCGGAGCCAAGCCACCGCCGGGCCGAGCCTCCCGCCAAGAGCCTAGTGTTGCCCTTCAGCGCCGGTCACTGCTCCGAATAGGAACATTTCCCAGGAACCCGCCCCGGCTATGCCACAGCACGTCCCACGGCGTGCGGCCACCTCTGGGGTGGAGCAGGGCAGCCATAGTGCAGCACTGCCCGTTAGCAGCAGGGCCTCTGATCAAGGACACCTGGCAAAGCCCTTCTCGGGGAGCAGGCCCGGGAGGTGACATGGTGCAGACGGGGGCGTAAGGGTCTCCCCAGACAGGTCCCCCGGCTGGCGAGCACACGGCGCTCAGCCCCTCGGCTTGCGAGGGAGGGACTCTGGGACGGGGCCACCCCTGCCAGCCCTGGGCCCCCGGCCCAAAGGGACCCTGGTGCCTACACACTGAGCTGCTGCAGCACAGTCACGGGTGACCGCGGCCTGCTCCAAAGCGCCCCCTGCTGTTCCAAGGGCATTTCTGCGGCTCCCCGCTGCAGGAAGGGGCCCTGAAAGGGTTAAAAAGGAGCGTGGGGAGGGGAGCGGCTCCATTTCCCCCTTGGAAATACCAGGCGCATCCCAGCTGGCTTTGCAGGGAGAGGTGGGAGCGGTGGGGACGGAATCCGGACCAAAGACCCTCCTTGTCCCAAGTGTGCCAGGCCTCGGCGTTCACTAGGGGCAACAGAAGCAGACAAACCCACCCGGGCCAGTGGGTGACGGGGAGGGATCACATGAGGGTTCCCTGCTCTGTTCCCTCCCTCTGGGACACCTGGTGCTGGTCACTGTGGGCAGCCAGGACACTGGGCTGGACGGACCTTTGGTCTGACCCCGTCTGGCCGTTCTGATGTTCTAATGTCGTCTGCCTTCCCACCTTTTTCTCTGGCTGAGTTCTTCCACCCACACGCACTTGGCCACCGTCTCTGTGCCGCGTGTTTGCAGAGCCACTCGCCCCCTTCCGCCCACGCTGAAACCCCAGCCCGACTGACCTTTCCGGGGGTGTCTAGCTGCCCGCACAACACGGTGAGAACCGAGCCCTGATCTCTGCGGCCCTCCGCCAAACCTTTTCTCCATCGCTGTGAAATGCCCCTCCCAAGCCCTCCATCTGTCACGCAGGCCCCGAAGCCGCTGGTGCTTGGTGACCGGGCTCCGGGGCGCTCCAGGGCAGGAACCCGAAAGGGAGGCGAGGGCCAGGGGGACTACAGCTCCCAGCATGCATTGCGGCCAGTGATGGGGCTGGCTCTGATGGGCGAGTCCCACCCTGTGGATCTGTCTCCCAGAGCGTACCCCAGGAAGCAGCAGCTCCCCCCCACACCCCGATTCAACCAGGCCAGCTGTGGAAGGGGAGCGGCGTGGGCTGGGGGGTGGAGGCAGGGCGGGGATCTGGGGCAGTCCAGGGGCCGCTGGGCCCTTGGAATCCTGCACCCCCTTGGAGCACAGCTGCATACAGGGGTCACCCCCCGGCCAGCTGGGAGTGGTGGGGCCCGGGGGCAAGGGCCCAGCCGGCTCCCCTGCATTGGCAAGGGATTTTCTACACAGATGGCTAGGAAAAGGGGGCACCCGCCGCCAGCAGGGACAGGGTTAAACAGGGCTTGGCACTGCCCCCGGCGCCAGGCTGCAGCGTCCCCAGCCGTGGGCAGCTCCCAGCACCATTCACTGCGAGCAGCTGCCTCTGCGAGCTGGCGAACCCCTGGGGCCCGGCACCGCCGCCTGGCGCTCCGGCCTAAGTGAATTCGCAGCCCCCAGAGAGCCTCTCCTCCCAATTAGCGCTGAGAAGGGAGCCCTCCCCGGGCCCGGGCGTGCTAATAGCCAGCTCCCTGCTCTGCTCAGCTGGCGGATTTCCCACCGCCTGCGCTCTGGGCCTTTGCCCAGCTTCAGGTCATCCGGGATCTGCCAGCCCCAGGTCATTCCGGACGATTGCTCCACTTCAAGCCTGCGTGGAATTCTCCCTGCCTGCAACTGCCCGGCTGCAGCAGCGCCACGCTGGCCTGGCTCGCTTGGGGGGCAGCTACGCCTAAGGGAGCCCCCCAGAGCCCCGGGCAGGAGAGGCTGTGCGGGCCACGCCGCGCGCTGCAGCAAACGGCGTGTATCTAGGAGCTAGCACCTCCGCGTACAGGCAAAGGGAACTAGCGGGTCCCGCGGGGGGGCCCTCACTATCCCTATGGGGAGGAGGGCGTGTGGCCGGTGAAACTGACAGCACCGTAAGCTAAAGGCAAGGCCCAGCCGCCAGCACCCTGAGAGGGCTTGCCTAAAGTTAGTGAGCAAATCAGTGATCGAGCAGGAAAGAGCCCCAGATGCGGCGTCCTAGCAGAGCCTTGGCAGCATGAACATCCTCTAACTGGAGAGCGTGAATCCAGGTGCCGCTAATAGGCAGCAGAGTTAGAACAAACCCAAGGCAGTTTTTCTTCATGCAGCGCACTGTCAACCTGTGGAACTCCTCGCCGGGGGATGTTGTGAAGGCCAGGACTGTAACAGGGTTCAAAAAAGAGCTAGATACATTCGTGCAGGACAGGTCCATCAATGGCTACTAGCCAGGACGGGGAAGGAATGGTGTCTCTGGCCTCTGTTTACCAGAGGGTGGAGATGGATGGCAGGGGAGGGATCATTTGACGATTCCCTGTTTGCCAGCATTGGCCGCTGTCGGCAGACAGGACACTGGGCTGGGCAGGCCTTTGGTCTGACCCTGTCTGGCCGTTCTATGCCCGGGACAGAGCTGCAGCCTGCCAGACAACTCCCACCTGCATCTGGTTCGTCGGCTCCCAGACCACCAGCCTCCAGCAGGGGAGCTAAGGGGGATCTCCAGCTGACGCCAGTAGGAGGCGCCTCGTCCTCCCTGTGGAGAGCAGCCTCGGCCATACGGCAGCATGGGAGCTGTAGTCCCACCCCGGAGCCCAGCCTATCGCAGAGAATGGGAGAGTGTGCGCCTGAACTACAACTCCCATGAGGCACTGCGCGCCTGAACTACAACTCCCATGAGGCACTGCACCAACATGTCACTGTGTACTGCATGTTCTGCTTTCTGGTTGAAACATTTTGGCTCAAAAATGCCCCACCCAGCTCCCCTGAGTGCAAGACACAAAGTCAGAAACCAGGCAAGGCCTCCAGGGCAGGGGGTGCCTCCCGCCATGCGTCTGTGCAGCACCTTGCCCCGGGGCCCAGAAGCGGCCTGGTGCTGCTGTGGTCATAGAAGTACCCGCAAACTGGGCTGTGCAAAGGGAAAGACTTTTTGAACCCTGGATGTAGCATTGCAGGCTTGAGCCATGGAGCTGGCAGTGCTCCCACGGGACGAACATGAAATCCTACAACCGGCAGGGAACTCCAGAGGCATCAAGTCCAGTCCCTGCCCCCAAGCACCGTCTAGCCCATCCCTGGCAGGCGTCTGTCCAACCTGCTCTTCAATATCTCCAGTGACAAAGCCCTGTTAGGGCAGAGCCGCTCTAGGGCCTGCTTTTCAAACTGTGTCCTTGTGACTCCGTTGAAGAAAGTTGTTGATGCCACGACCCAACAGAATTCTACCTTTTCGCTGGAGTGCGGGCTCTGAGGTGGGGCCGGGGATGGGAGGTTTGGGGTGCAAGAGGGGGTTCCAGGCTGTGGGGATGGGGCAGAGGGGTTCAGCTGTGGGAGGGGGGTACAGACTCCATCTGGAAGTGCAGGTGTAACCCACACACCTCGTGCGGGCGTCTGTCCCGTGGGGTGGCACTTAGACCACATACAGTGAGAGATAAGAACTCGGCAGCCTAAGCTGGGAGGCAGCTGGTGTTTTAGCTCAAGCTCTAGAGGCTCCTACACTAAGCTCCAGAGGTCCCAGGTTCAAATCCACCTGGTGGTGGTTACACAGGCCCTGGGGTGAGGGACTTTGAGTTGGGGGGGAGGGCTCAACGCTGGGGCAGGGGTTAGTGCTCAGGGCTGGGGTACAGGCTTTGCCACCAGTGGTTCCCAGCTAGGGGATGCTCAGGTAAGTTTCCTGCCTGGCCTATCACCACAGACCATGCTGGGCCCTGGAAGCAGCCAGAGACGGAGTGAATGCTGCTCTCACCTGCAGGTACTGCCCCCCAGCTCCCATTGGCCAGGGGTGCAGAGCCCTGTGCCCTCCCCAGGAGGCTGCTTCTGGGGCAGCATGTGGGCTGTAGCACCAGGTCCGGCAGGAAGCCTTCTACAGCCGCCACC